ACCCTTATTTTACACAAAAATAAATCGAAAATGTAAAATAAAACCTTTTCATACGATACATCGATTCCAAGATAATTGCATGTGTTCATAGCGACAGTAAGTAGAAACAGAACGCAATGAACGGACGTGTTAGCAAACTCCTATTCAATTGCACGCGTATCCAGCAATTCTTCAAATTCGATTTTCTCGAAAACGAAGTATCCTACGAAAAAATTTTATTCTTTATTTTCGATTTTTTCCTGTACGTAGAATCACACCCTTTCGGTTTATATCACCTATGCGGCGACACTCTGTACATATCAGTTAATTGACAATAATTTTGTTTGTCCCACGAGTATATACTAAATGGCTGTTCAAAATCTACCCTCGTGAAATATGCGTCATCCAATTCGTAATACGATCTCTGTCAATCCTCTTAGAAATAGAAAGAAAATTTTGTTGAACAGCCAAAGTCGTTCATTATCTTCCACGGCGAATAATTACCCCTTACAAAATGCATCGAAGGTATGGACACCTCTAATACAAAGTTTACACTAAAGTAACCAACGAATGTCTGACAATGCAAAGCACATTCCCCTGAATTTATAAAGGCAACATACTTCTACGTTGCCCAACAGTTTCGCCCCCACGAAATCACCGCCACCGAAATATCGCGGCGTCCGGGAGCCAGCGTGAACCGCCTCAAAATCCGCCTAATCGATATGAAAACTGTCCGGCGCGACGGTCTATGATGGTCGTGGTCCGCCGACGCGTGGGCGTTGCGCGCACACGGGGACACGGGCGCACGATACAAAAGGTAAAAAGCGCGGGGAACAAAGGGCAGAAAGGAGCTACAAAGAAATTAGGAGAAGGAGAAATACTGTCGTGGCGGTTGGGGGATTGGGGGGCTGGGTCGGTTTTACGGGGGAGCGGGCAGGAACGGAGCAAGAACGACGATGGAACTCGTATGGTGATGGGGGCTAGATCCGTGAAACGGAAGGAGATTCACGGCGCGCGGCGAATCGGACAGAGATGACGAAGAAGGGCGAAGGAGTGAGGCGGCGCGACACGTTGAGGCGAGGGGAGGGGGTTAGGGAGGGAGAGGAAGGCGTGTGGGAGTCGTGGAGGGAGGGAGTTGAAAGAAGAGAAGAGGTGGAGGAAAGACGAAGAAAGCTGTGAGCAATACCACCACACACATATACACAGCACACACACAAAAATATCACCGTTAACGATTACTAACCCCTCTTTTGCTCCCCGCAGCTCGTTATATTGTGTCCCCGCCGCGCGCGCAAATTTAGAAACAAAAGACGGGTGGAAGGCGCGGCCTGATTGGCCGGTCGGTCCGCGACTCGTCTCTCTGATTGGCCCGCGGGACCGCACCCATCCTGCAATGGCCGCTTTGTCGTTTCACGCCGCCGCTACACTCGCTCGTTCACTCTCACTCTCTCTCTCTCTTTCCTCGTGTGTACGCGCCTGTACGCTCAGCCACGAACCTTCAACAACCCCGTGAAGCGCGACTCGGCCGTACCCCCTTACCCTTTCCTTCATACGTCTCTCTTTAGGATGGTTTTCTTTCTCTCTCCCTCCTACTATGTTTCTCTAACCAACATCTTCGTCACTCTCATTCCACGTCGTTTCTTTGCTTCCCCCTCCATCTACAAACGGGTGTCACCTCCTCTGGCGGCTTCTTTACCACCTTTGCTCCGCGGCCCACCCCCACCCTGCAACCCCTTTTCACCACCACCGAATCATATCAAAATATAATCAGCGGCTTGCATGTGAACCCCGATGGTCATTCATGCACGGACACGCGTGTTTGTTGTATACACCGTACGCGTGCACCCCCATGTGCCGGGTTCGGAGGGAACGACTGACGGAGGTAGGATTTTCTTCAGTTTTTTGAATTTTCATTTTTTCGTCGCTGCTTGAAATTAGCGGCGTGATTCAGTGCTCCCTCTGCTTCTTAGTAATTACCCTCTACCTTTGGCTCGAATGAATCACGAGGGATCTATCTAGGATCAATACATGAATCCGTATCTATCCTTTTCTCGATTACCCTACTATTGCACTTGGTTCTATTCTTCGATTCGTAATTTCTTCCACATGACAGCACGAAATCCTTCCCTTACTATTGTACTATTTTCCAGATATTCCACTAATTTACTCCCGCCAAAAACGCTACCCACCCAAGGCTAATAATTTTATCTATTTATCCACCATCTTATTCCGCTTTCTCTCGCGATTTCTCACCGCAGACGGTCTAAACACGCGAGATAGGACCGCAGACATGTCGTTCGTGATACGATATACAGCCTCCAACCCCGGAAGAAGGAAGAAGGATAGAACGAGCCCCGCGGCGTGGGTTGAAGCGTGAATCGCAATGAGAGGAAAAGGGACGTGGAAAAGGAGGGCGAGGGGGAGAGAGAGGGAACCTTGTCCCGGGTCCGCCATGCGGAAACCTATCTCAGGCTAGTACTCCACCGGTCCGCGGTAACTAACCGTCAGCCCGGGAAAATTCTCCCTTTTATGGTCGCGCCTTTTGGTCCTGCCACTCTCTCCATCCCCGGAGAACGTGCCACCGACGTGTCCCTACCCCTTTCATTTGCGACTGTTCTTTTACCGTTTTACCAACGATGTCGATAATTCTACGCGATATCGCTAAGGGATCGAGCAGTTAGCGATTCACCAAGGAAAAAGGACCAACAATTTGTAAGATTGTGCGATAAGTTACTATACCCGGAAGCAAGTTACTAATTCTGTGACGTCATGGAAAAATCGAGTCGACATTCCCTGAATTTTTCGCATTGAAGAATAAATCCGGGGTTGTAAGGATTTATACAAATTCGATGTTAATGATTCGAAGATGAATCGAATGGAAATTCTATTCGTTCAAGGATCGACGAATTTTCTACTTACTATTTTTGTATTTTTGGACCCTGTTTTTTACAAATACCTTACTAATCCTTTATTAACGGCCTATGTATTATTACATTTCTATATTACTGTTGTTCTTCTAAGTCTTTCTTTCCTTAATCACTTTCTGATTGTTTCGGAAACGTGATAACCATTTTGATAGTTAATCTCGATTAAAAGAATGACGTTAAAATTTATTTCATCGGTGTACGTTAAGATTGTAAAAATATTTTCCCTTGAAGTCCATATGAAATCACTTCGAAGAATTTGCAATTAATTGATAAATGAAGCGTACATTACAACGTTGGACGAATTTTTAAAAAAAATATTTCCAAACGAAATAGTTGCATTCTTCCTCTATCCACCCTCGAACATCACGAAACCATATTAACATACCCCCGATCGTCAAGTCAGAACGTTATCCGCTGCCAAAGAGAGGCCGAGCTGAAAATAATTCACTGTACTCTCCCGCGTGATTTACAGAGACGTAACCAACACTCGCTAATTGATAATAATTCCGTTTGACGAACAAGCGGCCGTTAAATCTGTTTTACGAAAAAGCATTCCCGTTAATATAATTTTGCGAACCGCGTTATCGACGACAGGAACAACGCTCGCGCGCGCTTTAATTGCACGAGAATATATCGAAGCTTTATATTTCCGGGAGGATTTATACAGGCCTGCGGGTGCGTCGTGAAAAGAGCGTGTAACGTTGTTAATTCTCGTTAACTGAGAACGGAATTACCGGGGAACGGCGGATTGCGGGTTTAATAGTGAATTATGCGTTCGAGTCCTCGCCACGCCGCGCAAAATGTCCGCCGAACTGTTCGCCGGACAATGGCTTAAACGTGACGAAAAATGAGGTAGGGCATTTTTCTTTTTGTTCTTCATTTTTTTTTTTCGCGTGTTATGCATCCTTCGGAATTTCGTGGACGACGACGATCCGGAAAAAAATCGCATTGTGCCCGCGCCGGTTTAACAGGCGAACATTACCGTACGCCATTCGAAACAAGCACTTTCAATTCGCGGAATGCGATTCACCGCGGAAAATGGACTCATTTAATCGCGTCTACTTCACGATCCGCCCTTCGCCATTACGACTCGCCGGGGGAAAATGAATTTAACAAACTGCAAGAGTCCAGCGGTTGCGTGCCACTCTAGCCGTTCCATTCTTCAATCCCTATTTTCATTACAAATAGCGGAATATGCGGGATAAATTGGACGTGAACCGTCAATTGTACACGGACTGGTACCAACTATTTCAGCTTTTCAATAGGCGAATCGTCAACCTTATGTTTCGTATGTTTCTCAATTTTAATGTTTGCGATTAATGTTTTTACGAATTAGACACGTTGTAGTTGAAGGTATAATTCAGAATGTAACATTTATTATTGCAAGACTTTTCTTTGTTTTTTATTCGGTGGGTGAGTAGTTTCGATACGTTCGTATGAATATGAATTGATTGGAAGAAAATCATTTGAACATTATTCAAAATAGAAAGTGCAATCAGTTATTGTTTAAAACTTTGAGATCATTTGCAATATTTGCGTTTCTCCAAAGAAAACAATTCCCAAAAGTGAATTTAAGCTAAACGCTTTAATTTAAAATCATAAAGAAAGCTAAATCTTCCATCTTATTTCTACCAGTAAACGTTTCAAATTTGAATCTTGTCGAATACATGGTCCGAAACATTTAACTAGTGAAACCCAATCAACGAAAAATAATCACGAAACTGATTCTCGACTAATCTATAAAGTTACAGAAATTCATAAGGATCACAGAAATGGCCTCCATCGATCTTGTCTTCATAAACCCCACGCGACACCTTCAATAAATAGCTCAAAGTCTTCCAATCACATCGACTAATAGGTTGTTGACCTACCAGCGCGAATTCGTAAGGATCCGAACGAGGGAAGAAGGAAGAAAATATCCTTTGACTGGTTCGATCGTTTCACGGGGGAGGTTTGTGGTTCGCGTGGGAACACGATACCTCTGAGTCGCGAATATCACAAGGTGGTCGGGGTTGGACGGGGGGTGGGTATCGGGCCACTCTGATTCGTAGGTCGCGGGTGTCGTGTTTCATAGGCCTTTTGATTTTCGCTCACCTGTATCCTGTCTTCGGGCAGATCGGTTCGGAGGCTGAGCATCTCGCGAGCATAGACGTCCGGATAATGGGCTTCCTTGAACGCTGCCTCCAGCTCCTCCAGCTGTTGCGACGTGAAGATCGTCCTGGAGCAACAACCGTATGAACCTAGTTATATGCCATTACAACATTTCCCTTAAACCTAGCCTACACTCGATGGAAAATCGGAAAGTAAAATGTCCGCGTATTTCTGCGATCTACCTGGATGTTTTCTTCTCGATTTTCTCACGATGTTAAACAATTACAGAACTTGTTCGAATGACGCGAGTGCACGGGTTCGAGGCGTAATTTTCTTTCGCTGGAATTATAAAAATAAGTGCATCAACGAATCAAAAGGACACCAATAACGAATCGTTACATACTCCGATCAGAAGCTTAAATAGATTCCAATAAAGAAAATATCCGCACTGCGGCAAATTTTTGTACGTACAACGCGCAATCGATTGGTAAAGTAATTTCTCACACCCTCATCCCATTTTTTTTTTCGACGTTTGAACTGTAATATTTGCTCTCCAATACGGAATTACCGCGCGTTTACGTCTTACGTCCGAATTGATGTAACAACTACACACGTCCGATGTGAATCGATTCGCCGCGATAATTATATTTTTTAACGAGCAATTTGAACCCAGGGGTTTCGACTGTCCGCCACGCAATTATTGGCGAACGGTAATTGCGCGCGGATTATCTGTCTCTTCGAAAATACCCGAAAACTCGTTACCGTGTTCACTTGTCGATTACACGATGAAAAGTCTAAAATGATATATTTGTTCGCGCGCGCTGGAGAATCTATCATTATAGCGGGCGCAGAATCACCGGTGAACAGGGCGCAATTGTTTCGTTTTGGGAGTGGATGGTTGCTGATAATCAAGCGAAAACGCGCGAAGAATAGCACTCGACGGGCACGTCCATGATTTTACGAACGGTTATTAATCATTCGAGCCTGTCCTCTGTATCGCGCTGATTTCAACGATGAATTTTTGGGGTTGGAGTTCGTCGCGAACAGGGAATTAATGGCGGCGGTTGGTCTCGCGATGCTTCGGGGAAAAAATAAAAGTTTGTATTAATTTAAAATATTATTTTATTTAAATTAACAAGACTGACTCGTGTTATATATGATTATGCGATCCAGGCTAACCTTTACTGTATACACACGATTAGAATATTTACTATGTTTAGTCCTGTGAATAGATCCATGGGTTTCAATCATGCCGAGGAACCTTTTTTTCTTCGATAAATAATACATAAATAGCCGAGCAACGGAAAGGTACACGGAAAAATTCATTGTTCAGGCTCACGTGAGATACTCACCTATGACGGCGTTTCTTCTTCTTCTTTTTACTGAAACCGGAGAGACCGTCGACTGTGAAATCCTTTCCTGACTCTATATTGTGCCCGACTCCTGAAAGAGAACCGACCGTGTTAGTGACTTTCCGCGAGCTGTGGGTGGAGCATTAATTTTAATAATAAGAATGTGACAAAACGACAACTTAATAATGATGAATGATGAGATACTTTACTTTTCAGGAAATCTTTTGGGTGAGGTATTTTGCATTGAAGATTTAGCATGGGCGGCTTTATCTTTCGTTATTAGATTAAGACTCTATGGATGTAAAGTTACTGAACATGTTCTGAAAATCGGTTGCGAGAAACTAAACGTCTTACTAGGAAAGATTCTGCTCCTCATATTTTTATTCTGCCATGTTCAGTAATTATTTTTATGTATTATTGTGAAGAAGGTTTGTACAGACTCAAGTAGACGATCTCAGCACGCCTCATTTTATAGATGTCCACACTTTATATTGTAAAATGATATAGTCTGTGATAGGTGAGAATTATATGTATCATAACGTAGAAAATAGAAAAATCCTCTGAAGTTTAGAGTATAATTAACAGTAGGGCGAAATATCTGCAAAATCAGCTCGAGATATTTGCCACCATTAGCGGCCATATTCAGCATTTTCTGTGAATTGTTACACTATAACCTACAGGCAATTGTCATTCAGAAATGAAAGGCTTTACAGAACCTTCATAAATTTTGTAAGTATAAAATACTCTTTTATCTAGTATTCCTTTAACAATAAATTATTAAGTATTCGAAAAGTGTAAAGTTGATATTTCCAACCTGTTATTTCGTTCTTCATTCCCAAATGGGTCATCGTTTAATTCTCTATTTCGCTACGGGTTCCACTTTTCGGTGCATTTTGCAAGGGTAAAATTATCGAAATAACAGGGTAGAAGCACGCGGGCGTATCTTCTTTCGTGAAAAATTCGTGGCTAACGGGCGGCCTGCGATCCATTGGGGGGAAAGGAGCTCATTATTTCATAGCACTGGCTGTAATTGATAATTACACACGCCGCTTCGTTCGAGCCGCTCAAACACCTCGCGGATCAAATTACCTATTATACCTGACTTGCCAATGAATCGGGACCACGCGTAACATCCACGCAAATTATGCTGGACCAGTCAACGCGTTCGCCTCATCAATCTCTCTCTTCCTATTTAATTCCCATTAAACAGATTCTCGTGGCTGATACCCTTCGCATAAAACGACTCTTATTCTATATTTCAAATACCTTTAGAATCGCTTTTTAATGAATTTTCGCTGTTGGTCCGATTATCATAATTTCTTGATTCATCCAAAACAGAAATACAATAAAATATGGGTTCCTTCTTCTACATCTGTCAAGTTTAGATGCATAGTATTCTTCTGATCCTCAAATATTATTCTAAACATTTTCTATTTAATAATTACAGGGGATTACTTTCCAAGACACTTTACACTTGCGGACTGTCTGACAAAGTACAATTATTACTGCAATAATTTCCCTCTTTGACTAATGGATATTCGATCTCCGAAGATTCAACTCAAAAATACATTTACAACATCGTTCATTCATTTTACATTGCGGACATCTGAAAGAACAGCAACCAATTAACTTTCTCCGTTAATTCCATATCCTTCACTCAACTCTCTCAGTATCGGACTGAAAGCACGAACCATTGATCAACCGCCAAAAAATGGAAACGCAATTACCGGCTTACGCGGTTCGAAACTCTCACCGATCGGAGCATAATTTCCGCAATTCCGAATCGACAATCCAGGCACAGAACCGACACCCGACGAAAATCGCCGAAAAATGTATTACCAACGATACCAGTATTTCAACCCTCGTTTCGACGACAATACTTCGAAAATCACGGAGAAAAAAATTGCCAAAAAAAAAAAACAGGCCCTGTTGTCCGATCGATGACGTCCCAGGTTTTCATCTGAAAAATCGCAGTTCCCCAATTAGGGTGCAGCAGCAGCGACACGCGTCGAAAAAAAAATAGAAACATTTTTTCCCCATTTTGTTTTTTCCTCTTTTTTTCGCCAGTGCCACGTTGCTTCGCGGATCGTGTGCGTGCGCCCGGGTAAATGGTAATTTTCCACGGGAAGGGAGGGGACACGGGGGTGGTGTGTTTCGAAAGACTCGTAGGGGTGAGGCGGTGGGAGGGCGAACGGGGAACCCATGGCCCGAAAATAATCATCAATTATAAATTAATTTCGAATTAACGAGCGAGAAACGGCTCCGTGGCGCGCGCGCGCGATTTCACAATGAAACCCTCTCTCCCCGGGGCTAACTCGTTACTACAGTTGTTGCTGCCGCTGCCAGCCGCTGGTGGCCGCCACTACCGGGCGGCTAATTAACTATTAATTAAGAGCTTAATTCCAATTATATGTGTCCTTCGACTAATTGGACCCCGAAACGCATTGGCCTGACGTCACGGACCGCGACGGTGTACGTACATATTACGCTCGGGCTCGTTCGTCCTACTTCTTCTTCCTTCGTGGAAATTATTTCTACGGGAAGCCTGCGCGCTCGACCTTAGTCGACTCACACCTGTGTGAACGCTCACGTGCAGGTTTAACGCAAGCTCCCGTGTGTCCCTTGAACGTCGTCAGAAAGTGGGAACGAGTCATTCGGCCACCTGTGATCGCCAAAGGAGATACGGGCGAGTCAAAGGATCTTTCAAACATTTTCGAGAGATTTCGAGCAACTGTTTGCGAGAAGGTTGTAAATTCGTCAGAAGGTTCAGCTTTGTGATGTGTCTACGTGTGTGCGACTCCGTGTGTTTTAATTGGTTGCTTTGATTTTGGAGTGGAGCGTAGAAGAGATTCTTGGTGATACGAGTGTTGTCATGAATGTTGGGTATTGATCGTTGGTTGATTTTACATACGCCTTTCAAAGGAGGATTTTCTAGTGGAAATTGCTACGTTGCGGAGTTCTTATTTAGCGGGGAAATACAGTGGAAGCTAGTTTTCCGAGCGCGTGAGCATCGAAAAAAGCGAGGTGGATCGAGAAAGTGGTGAAAAGACGAGGAATTCCGACGAATTTCGAGCCGAGCAGCTTCGCGGCCACGACAGAGGACACACGGCTCGCGAAAATAGCGAAGGCTGAGAAGCGAAAAACCATTGTTCGTTGTTGCTTGTTCGTTCCTGGTTCGCGTTCCGGCTTTTTTCTGCTCTTTTTTACGTCGCGTTTCAATGCTTTTCGGGAACGGTTTCTGAGAGTTAAAAGATGGGGCAAGTCGAATCATCATTGAAGGGAAACAAAATGGATAATACGTAATGTTTAATATTATGTGAATAATAAAATTATCACTTCAAAGAATTTCCATTCAATTGACGGTGTTAATTGTGTTGACACCACATTATCGTGGCAATTGATATTCTTCATTAGAAGTGGTTGAATGGCGACAACGGATGATTCTTAACAATATAAAACACTGTGTTGTGGTTTGAATTATCATTTTCGCAAAGGATTTTCATGTTACGGATAAGAAATTTATTTAATACTATGATTACGACCATTGAAGGCAGTATTTAAGAAAGGGTTGAAAAAGAACTGCATGGATTGTTAGTACTATAGGGCCCATCCTTGTTGTTATAATAATACTTCGTCAAAGACCACTTATATAATTGCTCAAACGAGTTGTATTAATCGAATAGTATGGTTACTGTCAATATTAACGTACCCTGAAAGGGGATGCAATGGAAAACACATGATTTTGTGATTTTCTACTGATCAAAATAATGTCCTTTCCTAGAAATATTAGTAATTAACGTAATTTTTGTTTAAAAACCCATAGACACTTTATTAACTCAATATAATACTCATAATTATTGATGGGGTCCATTGAAAGGGGGTTGAAAAAGGGACGCACAATTTAAAAATCTGCAACAAAGTGTGGCATGTTTCTAATATTATTTTCTCATAAAATTTTAATTTAATTATTTACATGTACCACATTAGAACATCATCATGATCGCAGTCACTACCAACCCTTACTAAAATGGGTGCAGTTAAAGAAACTCGAGTTCCAAGTACCATCAAAATTCGCAGTATACCAACAGTACTATTTCTCAACGAATCCCCGTAAAATTGACTGAACATCGGTCTCGTGGATATTTAACGAAAACTATCATCCACATCAGCGATCTGCGTGCGCTCCAAGGGGACGAAGAATTTCCTCGCAAGCCCGCCAAGACGAAGAACTTAATGAGGAAGCGTCGGTGGCATTCAGCCGATTCAGGCGAGGCCACCGGCTTAATTTTATCCAACATTTCTTAGACACGCCCTCTCTACTTCGCCACGTATTTTCCAACGTGTGCGTCAAATGAATCTTGCTCTATTTATCAGCTCATCCACCAAAGACGAATGGATAATTAGAGCAGAATAGAGACGAGGAGAGTGAAGGATCAAGCGTCCGTAGCACGCTCGAATCAAAAAAGGATAAAAAAGGAGCAAAATACTTTGATTACATCTGTCCTTTTTTTCTAGGTCCCTAGCTTTACTTTTTCTATCTTCAACGAAGATCGTCGAAGTCACGTGGAGAATAAATATTTGAGACTCGCGCAGGCACTGAGTCCTCGCGCGCGGAGCTCGCGCGATCTATTGTTCTTCGAGATCGTAGAGAGGCCTCTTTACGCCACCCCGACTACGCGTTGATTCCTGCACCCGGGTTTTTTAAGTACGCTTATTTACCGGGAACCGTCGAACCAATCGCCTTGGATCCTCGTAGGATCCGATCGTGAATGGTGAGCGCTAACAGGCGAGGAAAACGGAGCTGCTTATGGTCGACGGGTAATGATTAGTGATTATATTATTGACCGTATGTGAGTCGACATTCACTTGTTGTGAGGGGAATATAGATTATAATACAAATATAATTTTGTTCTGCTGTTTAACTATCTTCTTCTACTTATATCTAGGATGATGGTATTTAACATATTAATGTTTTGAGAACTATCTAAAGGGAGTAGAATATTAGAATAATTCAGTCATTAATAATTTCCAAAAAATTGAATGTTTGTGCAGAAGGATATTTTATTTAAATTTCCCAATTAATTCTTCATG